CCCCTGGCTCAAAAAGGTTGCCTACCCCTGCTCTAGATCCTCAGTCTTGGGGAAGGAGGGGTTATCTTCTGGGTTAGGCATTGTGTCAGCCAAATCAGGGTAGGCCAGAAGACTGTGGACAATGCTTTCACATCAACTCCACCATTGTGGCTTCCATATCAGTGGGACAATGAATCCATCCTGAGTTTTAGTGTGTATTTGAAAGGAACTATCTGAGATGATAAATTTTGGGGAAAGGACGCCTTGGAAACCTCCTTTATAATTCATATTAAAACCAAGAGCAGAGTTGTCACCCCACTGACACAGGAACTACCAGCTGCCAAAGGTCTGGGTGTCTTGCTTTCTTTGCATGGGTAATTAGAGGTGGCTGCAGCTGTAAATAATGAGCAAGTGGTGTTTTCCCAACCTTGGGTCCCCAGAGGTTGTTGGATTCCAACCCCAGGAAGACATAACCAATATGACCAAAGGTCAAGGATTCTGGGAGTCCTTGGACCTGAGGCTACTTGTATTGAGCAAATCAGGGTTGGTCCTATCATTAGGCAGAATGAGACAGCCATCAGGGGCAACGAATTTTGCATGCCATGAAATGATTGCAGAGGATTGGCTATTTAATTTATTCATATTTATTTTTATTGTCAAGGGGCCAAAGATATGTTTGTGAGATATTTTGCCTCATATGCCAAAATAACCTGACTGTCTTGAAGTAGGATGAACCTTGAGATCTGGACAACATCATTGACTTTTCTTCCTGAGGGAGCAAAATGTTGGGGGCAGAGCTTAAAGTGAAGGAGCTCTTAAGGCAATCTTCCCCAACTTGGTATCCTACAGATGTGTCGGACTATAACTTCCACTACCATAGACACCATGCTTTTTGAGGATGATGGGAGATGTAGCCCAATCCATGTGAAAGATGTGATGCATAGTGACTAGGTGACTGAGACTTAAGATCCCCTCTACCTTTGGGTTCTAAAGCTTATTTTGATCCTCTTGCTGCACCTACTCTTCACTTACTGAAGAAGGAGCAACAGCATAATTCTTTTTTGAACTACAGTGCTAGAGTGCTCTAGCAGAGACTTCTAAGCAATTCAACCAAATGACAAATCTCAAGATTTTGTAGGATGGAACCATGATAGTTAAAGTAGGATCAAATTGCTATACCTAGGTAGTGCAGATCCTTGTAGCTAGGTGTGGATATTTGGCCAATTGAAAAAAAATGGTCCATGAATCAAACATTGGCCAAATGGTGTCCAATAATTGCCATGGTTTTTTATTTATTTACTTTATTGTTTTCAGCAGGAATGGGATAGGTACTGATGACCTTTCTGATGTTGAATTCTAGTTCCTATCAGCCCTAACCACCATGGCCAGCATTGAGAGATGATGGGAGTTGGAGTGTTATCAACCTCTGGAGGGGCCATAGATTCAGTTGTTGTTGTTGTTGTTGTTGCTGCTGCTGTTATTGTGTGCCTTCAAATCATTTCTGACTTATGGCAACCTTAAGGCAAACCTATCATGGGGTTTTCTTGGCAAATTTCATGGCTAAGTGGAAATTCAAAACCTGGTCTCCAGAATTTCAGCCCAACACTCAAACCAGTACCCCACACTGGCTTTCTTATAGGACCTTACCACACAGGGGTCTAAAGTGCTCGCAT